AGCCATTTGTCTGGAATGGTATAGGGTTTCCTGCCTAGGCAGGGGGTTGGACTAGAAGACCTCCAAGGTCCCTTCCAACTCTGCTATTGTATTATATTGCATTGAATCAAGTGTTCATCTGATCCAGTATCTAGTTTGCAACTATGAGCACCAATCTAATAGCTGTTAGCTTCACAGTAACTAGGACTTTGAAACAAGCTGCCCTCCTTGCATGTAAATTCTAAGAGTGGGTAAAATTTATGGACCCTTAACAATACAGCTATAGTTGATATGATAAACGAGTTGCAAATTTCCCTCCTTTCCAATTGGTCTGTTTTGCAATGGCTCAGTTGTTTTCCTAATTAAAAACAAAGCTCCAGCAGCACGTTGGCCCAGTTACAATTAGAGGGGCTGTGTCTGAAATGCTAATTGTCCTCTTCCAACAAGGCAGAACTGCTAGAAAAGACACAAGAATGGGAAGAGTAAATCTCAGCTCCGGGTGACCGAACCAGATTTGATCTTTTAACATCATCCTGGGACATGTATGTTCGGGTTTGTTTTGCACCCATTCCTACCATCTACCTTTCTGTCTGCAGACTGGAAGAGCAAAACCTGAGATGGTTAACTCTTAACACCTGAACATCTAAATTCAAATGTCCTATAGAAAAACCTAAGCGTATCACAGTTTTACAAGTAGTCCCCACTTCCCGACCACAATTGGGACTAGCAACTCCATAGTTAGGTGCCCCAGTTGGCAAGTGAAAAAATAAAATAAAGGTATATTGTCAAAAGTCACTTTAAAAAAGAAGATATTTAAATTAGGGTTTGTTGTACTTACAAGGCATATAGACAGCTTGGAAACTTCCAACATAGTTTGGGCCAAGTTCGTAAATTGTGCTAATGCTTGATGGAGGCAAGACTTCTTCTAGGAAATGGGTTGGTCCCAACCGCCACACGAGTGATGAGAGCTGTCGCTGGGCAGGTGGTGTGCCTATATAGGCATAAACTGTACTAACTATTGGTGGGTTGGCACAACTTGAACCGCCAGGGCTACTGTGAATATAGTGAAACTGTAAAATAACGTTAATGCAAGACTATCATATCTATCCTATAGACAAATAAAGTTATATGTTCTACCTATAATTAATCCCCTTAGGCTGCCAAAGAAGCAGTGGTGGGTTCCGATCCCATTACAACCGGTACCGGGGCCCGGCGTCCTCCACATGAACGTGCGCAGCCACACACATGCACATCGCATGCATGCATCCTACCCTCCAGCGACGCCTCCGCGACGCTACAGCTGCTTGGCGGAACATTGCGCAGGTGGTGTACATGCCGTGCTTGGAGCGCCAAAAAGTTTAAAGACAGGTAAAAATGATGGGTAGAAGGCTACGGGCAGGCACCGGTATGCTCGTACTGGGGTATACTGCCGGCAACCCACCACTGCACCAAACCATCTAGCTATTTTCTATTATCTTACTCTACGTACATAAGAAATCAACAAAACTAGCACCATATGTAGCTTATTTTGACATTTCTATGTGCTAAGAAAGGAAAGCAAATGTTTATTCAGGCTGCTGTCCAATTAAAAATATACATAATCTATTTATGAAGGTTTCAATCTGATGAAAGCTGCATGTATTAAGCCTGCATTTAAGAGGGTGAATATACTGTATAAACATAAACATAACTTTCAGATGTATTTAAGGAGAGATTTTTTTTATTTTTTAGGCATCAGACAGTACCACGGAGGATAAGAAATACAGTGGGACCTTGGGTGCCGAATGGTTCAGACAACGGACAATTTGGGTGCCGACCAAAAAATCCGCTAAATGTTTCACTCAGTTCACAAATGCATCCTCGGGTGCCGAATAAACACAGCCGTGCCACGAGCAAATTGGGTGCCAACTGAAGTCCTGGAACGGATCACGGTTGGCATCCAAGGTCCCACTGTACAGGTAGTTCTCCCTATATTCCCCTCGCCCCACCTCCACCCACAATTTTCTGCACCCCCTCATTTTCATGGTGGAAGAGAGGAAGGAGCAAGGTGCCTGTCCGACATAAAAATCAGGACCATTTTTAAGATTGCAGCATAATACACAAGAATAGCAATAGCACTTAGACATATATACCGCTTCACAGTGCTTTTACAGCCCTCTCTAAGCAGTTTACAGAGTCAGCATATTGCCCCCAACAACAATCTGGGTCCTCATTTTACCCACCTAGGGAAGGATGGAAGGCTGAGTCAACCTTGAGCCTGGTGAGATTTGAACTGCCAAATACAAGCAGCTGGCAGTCAGCAGAAGCAGCCTGCAGTCCTGCACTCTAAACACTGTGTCACTGCAGCTCAGAATCTGATCAACTAAAGTTCAGTGCTGAATTGGTACCAGATAAGGATCAATGGAACTCGGGAGGGGTTGGGACTTAAGAGCGTTTGTGGTATCGTAATGATTCTAAGCTGATGATGCACTTAACTCCGCTCCCCAGATCAATCTGCTCTTTTCCTACAATGACCTCTGTTACACATTTTCATATAGTTCATCTAATCTATTACTTTATAGGGAGATCATTCATCTCTCCTATGGAGTGACAGAAGGGAAGGTTTCCTTCTGATTGGATTAGCATGGAGACCTTCTTCTATTTCACCCATTGGCATGGGGCACCTTTTACCTAAAGATAATAGACGAAAAGAATCAAATTCCTCCTTGTTCAATTTTGACTAGGCGGGGGGGGGGACACCAAGTAGCGGTTTTGTCCCCATTTCATGATATCTTGGGCATTAAACAATCTGTTTTTATAACCCTCGTACAAGTTCTTTTAAATAGATTGTATATGGAAAAAAGAATTGGATATTTACTACTCGCCTATTCCTCTTGTGAATTAGGCTTGTGGTATTGGATGGAGTTCCTAGTGACTGATGCAGTCTACCTTTGGTTCTTAACATTTTGCATCCTGTACAAGGATAACTAACTGGATGAAACATCCTAAGGAAATGAAAGCTATTTGTCTTTATGGTGAAAGACAAACAGAATCAACTGCTATTAATTCTATGTTTGCAGGACATTGGAACAGGAAATTTTGGCAGCCAGAGAAATAACGCTGGCTTGGCTTACATACAGAGATTTTATTTGAGGATACGGGGACTAGACTTAAAGCAGAAAAAGTTGTTCTAACTACTAAATAAGCCTATCCCTACTAGTTCTAAGGAACTTCAAACGAACCTTGTCATTTCTCAGAAATGCGTAAGAAAACATCTGTTCATATCATGTCAAACGAAACAAACAAAATATTAAAAAAATTATGATGTTTATGTCATTATTTGCCAAGCACTTCTAAACTATATTAAAGTAACCAAAATACATTTACAATCCCCATGGCACATCACAACTTTTGAGCACCCTTAATGTTTGGAAATTGAAAACTGAAAAATTTGACACGGGCTAAATCTCATATTTCACAAACTTATTACTGCTATTTTGGTATAAAGCAGTGGCCAAAATTGCGGAACCCTTTTGGGAAAAGTGTACTTTTGAGGTTTGATGGCTAATAACACCCCTTTTTGTTTGAGTAGTACCATAAAAATATATATATCAATGGAAAGATAATTTAATCAAAAATGTAATGCAGTAAAGTTTGTTGAATTATCTGTATTCTATGAAATGTTATAGCCAAATATAGCCAGAAATGAAACCAAGTTAATAAAAGCAATCATTCAATCTTGGTTTCACATTATAACAGCTGTAGAACTAAAAGACTTGGTTCACTCCATGGAAAGACATTGTTAAGGCCGTAATTCATGCTAAAGGTTGCCCAACTAAGTATTAGCTGACATGGTGATAATTTTTGTACATCTCGTTTCTTCTCAGTGTTTCACTTTTCTTCTTTATAACTGCTATTCTAATAGCAAATCCTTTACAAAAGTTATTGCGTTACATTCTTGATTAAATTATCTTTCCGTTGAGATATATTTTCATGGTACTACTCCCAAGAAACGTGGTGTTATTAGCCATCAAACCTCACAAATACTGTACACTTTTCCCAAAAGGTTTCCACAATTTTGGCCGCTACTGTTATCTTCTGTTCGTTTTTAATTCATTTTTAAATATCCAGAGCATTGCACAACATATGCTATTAGGCAATTATAGCCATTGTTTTACTTTCATTGAAGTTCATCTCATAGTTAGAATATTTGTTTACATGCACTGTGTTGGTCCCTTACATTTTTTATTACATGAAATAGACAAGCCAGATGCCAGTATGGGTTCAGACTGAGCTTTATCATTTTTTATTTATTCTACAATGTTTATTCTAAACATTTTGCAATATTGTTATATTAGACCACCAATACTGGTGAATACATCTCAAACCCGGGCTGTCACCTTTCCAGCTGACAAAATCAGTGTCTTTAACATTGCATCTCCGAACCAACATAAAGCCACTGCTAACAGCACTTGAGAATATATACCGTTTCCCCAAAAATAAGACCTCGACAGATAATAAGCCCAATCGGGCTTTTGAGCGCATGTGCTAAAATAGCCCCCCCCCCGAAAATAAGCCCTCTCTGAAAATATTTAAACGCATGCCGGTCTTTGCCATTTCCTCTGGTTGCTTGCTACACAAACAACACAAGGGGAGGAGGGGAGGCTGGATGGGAGGAAAGGAGGAGGAACATGCCCCATGCACCCCAAACGCCCTTACCTAACGGCCGCTCCCACAACCCTAGCCATCACGCTCCTTCTGTCATGCTAATGGCCGCCGCGAAAACAGCGGCAGGCCCAGCGACGTGCAACACAGCAGCCATGAGGTAACCATGCTCACCGACTCCTGCACCTCAAAAATAAGACCTCCCCAAAAATAAGGTCAAGTGCTTATTTCGGGGGACAAAAGAAAATAAGACCCTGTCTTATTTTTGGGGAAATGCGATACTATGACATATATTTTCTAGTAAGGGACAGGTGCTATAGACTCTGAATTTACCTTTACTGTATTAATCAGCTGTCCATCAATGTAAAGTGCAGCAGTACTATTTTTCAGCATGCCTTTGCTCATTACCAGAACCATGTGATGCCACTGGCCTTCCACGATGTGGTCACCACAACGAAAACGAGCACAGCAGGGCAGAAGCTCATAGCAGGAGGACTCCTCATTGAAGTCATCAGCTGGTGACAAAAGAAGATTGAACATTTCAGTTGCCAAAGGATATTGGCAATGGCTAAACTCAAAAAGAAGTGAATGCCAAATAGTTTGGTATGCACAATTGCCCATTAAAAATATTAGCCCCTAAGCACGGTCCTCTAATTTGGTTTCAGATTTGTCAAATCACAACATAGAGTACAAAGCAGTTGATCACTTGAATGTTTGCATTCAGTACACCATCACAATAAAGAAACACATACTGGGGCGGGGGGGGGGAATCAAAGTTAAGACTAGGTAAAGGTGAAGGTTCCCTTCACACATATGTGCTAGTCGTTCCAGACTCTAGGGAGTGGTGCTCTGTTCCGTTTCAAAACCGAAGAGCCAGCGCTGTCCTAAGACGTCTCCGTGGTCATATGGCCAGCATGACTAAACACCGAAGGCGCACAGAAGGCTGTTACCTTCTCATCAAGGTGTCCCTATTTTTCTACTTGCATTTTTACATGCTTTCGAACTGCTCGGTTGGCAGAAGCTGGGACAAGTAACGGGAGCTCACTCCATTACGCGGCACTAGGGATTCGAACCGCTGAACCAACGACCTTTCTGATCGACAAAGTTCAGTGTCTTAGCCATTGAGCCACCGCATCCCTTTTAAGTTAAGATTACATTGGAATTAATTAATAAGTGTATGATAGTTTTCATAGACTATCCGTTTTCATTTACTAGGCAAGCCATTTGGAAGGGCAATCACAGGGATTTAACTTTCATTACTAGCAATATTAAAAAGTTACTTTTCAACTACCTACAGGTAGTTCTTCACTTAGGACTGGTCATTTAGCGACTCACTAAATTTATGACAAACTTCCAAAGGGGTACTTACAATCCAATTCTGAAATTCCATCAGCCAATTCCCTGTGTGGCCAAGACTCCATGTTGGGCGCTAGGCACAACCGGCCCAGATTATGGCCATTTGTAATGTCCTGCACTCAATTTTATAGCTTTTTTTTTTGGCGGAAAGTCTAAAATTGAGTCAGTCATGTGGGTGAGCTAATTTACAACCATCACGACTTACGACTGTGAATGGCAAGCTCCATTTTAGTTGCAAGTTGAGGACTATATGTTTTAAATTATTGTAGCGGAAAGGGAAAATTAGCTGAAGAACCTCTTCATCATACTTGGGTTAGATTTCAATAATTCCAAGTTCAGGGTCCTCAACAAATTAAGACTTCAAGTTTAGAACCTTAGTTTGTGTAGAAGCCTTAAAAACTGTTCCTGCTCATTGCTTATTCTCCCATGTAACCCATCATGCTTTGCTGGAGCAGGAATGTTATTTCAAAATGATGCTTGATCTAAGTATAGCCTTTATTGCCCTTGTACATCAAGTGTACAACGGAATTGAATTTAGCCTCATTGGTGCAATCCGTGACAAAAAAATACAAACAACATAAATAGTATAAAGAATATAAGTAATAAGTATAAGCAAGTAATTAGGGAAAAAGAAAAACTAGTCATACTGTTGGGAGTATACTCCTAGTGTTGGGTAGGCGATATAGATTCATATACAATAACAAATGGTCAATGTTCGTTTAAATGGGTGAATGTACTTATCAGCTGTAATTAACTTTACAATCAGCTGCAATTAACTTTGCAATAAGAGGGAGTCAGGAAAGCTCCCTCTCTCTCTCTCTCTCCTTGTCCTATGC